AAGAGAAAGAGCTTCTCTAGCTTGACCATGCAAAGCTTGAATCGAGATATTGTATTGTAAACAGGTAATTCCTTGTGTAAAATCATATCAAACACCCTTGAATCTCTTAAAGTTGAATTTAAATTCAAAAACAAAAGAGTTTTTCATAAAACAAAATCACTTGAACTTTTCATCCAACAATCTTATTTGATAGAAAAGCCAGCATATTGAATTCTCAACAACTGCTACAGCTTCAGACCGCACACAATTAATTGATGCAACTGTCTCCATAAATCAAATTGAAAGCAGTGAATTTGATTGAATGATTATAAGGGTGATGGACTCCTTTACCTCTCTTTCCAATTTCTGAATCCTTGTTGATAACACCTAGACAAAAACACAACAAAGGAGTGAGATTTTAACGCATGAACTGTTTGGCAACCAGCTCTGCCTGATACAAAGATGATGAACCCAGCTCTGTTTCAACTAGTCCAAATTTAGTAAAACATTTTCTTTAGTCATGTTTCTTCATGTGCCAGTAAGTCCTTTTGGCATACTCTTCTGCAACAACATCTTTTATACTCGAGCAAAGTATGTTGCCTCAAAAGCAAACCTGTTCTGATCACTCCGATCCATACCATCTTCAAGGCAATCGAAAAAAGAACCGTAGAGTGATAATGGTTTCTGTAAGGGTAAGTCCAGAGCTTCCTGCTAGAATAGCTATACGGCAGTTACAATGGATATCCTTGTATCTAGATATATCTCAATCTCCCGGTTCCGAAATAAATGCTTGGAGATACATATCACATCCCGGATATTTTGCTTAGCTCAATCTCCCGGTCCCGAAATAACTGCCTGGAGATACACATCGGATCCCGAATATCTTACTTGGCATCTTGATTGGCATGCCGCGTGGATTCTGCATCGGAACATATAAATACCTCTTAAGGGCCACGCCAAAAGTTAATTGAAACCAACCCTAAGCTCCTTGTATCTACGCTTTAAAGGTAGTCCCGATTATTGCTGACTTAAGCATCGGAGTGTCTACCTCGAGAATCCATCTCGGGGCTTTGTAGGTTAATCCAGAGTGCAGATACGGACTGAAGAAGGACTTCTGGTTTGGTGCAGTTACATTTTGGCGCCGTCTGTGGGAATCTGAACTAAAGGCTCCTTTGTTGCTCTTACCATGGTTAAAACTAGGTCAGCCCGAGGTGGAAACTCGTCTCAGCCTCTTGGACGAGGTCAGGTCCCCAGCAACCTTCCACCTCATCCTCCACCCCCAATCCCAAATACATTCCCTCCTGTTGATCATACAGAAGGAGAAGACGAAAATCAACCACACAATTCGGTTAGCAACTCAGCCTCTACTGCTAACCAAGACGTAGTTGCAACTCAGCTTGCTGCCATGCAACAGCAGTTTGGTGTCTTTCAGCAAGTGCTGGCTCAGTTGTTAGCCCGGAACAATCCTGGTGATCCACTCATCAATCTACTTAATCCTGCCCCACCACAACCTCCAGCCCCACCACAAAATCCTGAACCAGTTCAACGTGCTCCCGCTGTTAGTGAATCTCAGGGCCAATCTCACATTGCACCAGTTCAGCAACCTCCTCATGATGATGTCACTCGACGTCTAGATAGCTTAGAAAGCCTAGTGGTTGAACAGCGAGGTGCCCCACCTCCATACCCTGCTGTTGACTCCGTACCGCACCCTCTCAATACCAATATTGTACTGGAACCCTATCCCACTGGCTTCAGAATACCACAACTTGAAACTTATGATGGGACGAAGGACCCCGATGATCATCTACATGCTTTCTACTCTTGCATGCAGGCCCAGAA